TAAAATTATATCTGTATAATTTAGTAACGGAGTGGATATTTCACTAATGTTGAGAAAACATTGCTGTTCAGCAAAGTTGCAGGAGAACACTCGTATATAAATGTTTTTTTTATTTGATAATTAAGTAATATAGCTGGTTTCAAAAGAATTTTGTTTTGCTATTTCTCAAATAAAAATATTCGAAATAATTTTGGTTAGATATATTTCAGTAACGGAGTGGACACATATTTAACATAGAAAAAATAAAATGTTGGTTAATCATCACAAGTATTGTAATGTATTGCAATGTTGTTTTATTAACAATAATACTTAATACTATTTAGCATGACAATATACGGAATAGGAAGCTATTCAAGATAACCTTGTGCATTTATGTATCGGTAACGGAGTGGACAACCGTTTTGGTCAGACTATTTTTGGAACCAGTAAAACTTTATATTTTTCAATTGTTGTGCAAAGCCAAACACATATTTCTGATAAAGACATATTAAAGATTCAATACAAACAACAACCACTTTAATTTTCAATATTTATTTTTTTTGTTGTTCATATACCGAAATTGGCAAATACCAGAAAATGATTAATACGACCACTCAGAGGACGATATAGAGCAATAATTTTAAGAAATAATTTTAATACAATAACTTTTAGTGCTATTAGTTTAGTTACTTTTAAACATAACGTAACATAATGATCGAGTAATTGGGCTCCATAAATTCATGATATCCACATGATATCATATCCATGATTGGCTCAGACCAAAGGTCCTTAAGCCCCTATCTACAGTAAATATCAAAATGTAAAGTATTGAAAATGAAATAAAGATATATAAAGTATTCGAATGAACATAAATGTGAACTATGTAAAGTAAAATGAATCTTTAAGCCCCTATCTACAGTAAATATCAAAATGTAAAGTATTGAAAATGAAATAAAGATATATAAAGTATTCGAATGAACATAAATGTGAACTATGTAAAGTAAAATGAATCTTTAAGCCCCTATCTACAGTAAATATCAAAATGTAAAGTATTGAAAATGAAATAAAGATATATAAAGTATTCGAATGAACATAAATGTGAACTATGTAAAGTAAAATGAATCAAAGGAAATTAAAGTTTTCTATCTAGTAATAAATTTAGTTTCAACAATATTATTGTTTATGTTGCCATTGTGAGTTATATATTCCACAAAATATGGATAAATAATCCATAACCTCAGATTTTTGGCGGAATATTACTAATTGATTTACTTTCTTGTTTAACTTCATAATAAATTGTATCGTCTGGCTGAGAATGGACATGTGGGCCGTAAGCTTTATCAAATCTTTCGTTTAGTTGTTCGATAAGCGTACAATTTTTTTCAACTTTTACGTTTAACATTGTTAAACTTTCCTCAATAGACTTGTTAAAATTTTTAGCTAAATCAATTGGAACACGCTCAATATTGAAAATAGTGAACATTGGCATGAATGATGATAACTCCTCGCTAAAAGTTAGTTTCACTAAATTAATTAATTCATCAATATTGCCACCTTTTAAGTTACTTTTAGCAGTAGATTTTCCAGATAATTTACTCAGTTCAACTGACAGATTTTTTATTCCGTCTTTAATTTCTTCATCACTAAAAAAATCCGACGCTTCATTCTTGAATTTTTCATCGTCTAGATGGTTCTTATTTTTAAAAAGAAACCACAAAATTTCACTAACAATAACTTGTCTATCCTCCTTCAATTGCTCATCAGAATATAATGACCCCCAATACTTTAGCACAGCTATAACTAGGCCCAGTCGAGAAAAACTTGGTTTTATAGTAGGAACTTTTTTACTGACAGCGTATTTGAAAATCACTTCTTTCTTCACTTTTTTTCTTTTGAAAAAATCCACAGGATTTGATGTGTAGGTCAAAATGGCTGAAATTGTTTCATCTTCGATTTCAAACGTGAATAATTTGTTGAGGACAGTTCTAGCAAGAGAGCGCCTATCTTCCTTATCCATTATACTAATAATGTCAATTATTCCTGTTCTTTCTGTTTCAGTTAGTGGCATTTTAGGCAAAAAAACACAATTCGCAATAAAAAAAATTAAAATCAAAACAAAACAGAAGTAAACCGGATAACAATTTACTATGAATGAGCACAGATGTTTCTTGTTAATTACATATGTATGCATGTATATACGTAAGTATGGGTTGTAAGTTTTCATATATATATATATATATATATATATATATATATATATATATATATATATATATATAACTTACATACACACACATACATGCGTTATCCAACGAGTGTTATATTGTTACACGCCTAACGCATCAAAGCTTGGGTTCACCAGTATTAGTTATAATAAGCTAAACGTAATAAAGCCTGGCTTAGATTTCGAGCTGACATTCAAACAATTTCTAACCAGTCATATATCGCGTTAATATTATTGCTATCATCGTTATTATTATTATTGTTGTTGTAATTATTATTATTATCGTTGTTATTATTATTTCTATTATTATTTGTTTTGGTTGTTATTGTTATAGTTAGATATTACTTCGCCTAATTTGTTTGCTCACATGATAGTCTTTTTACGATATGTACCTACGTACCTACATGTGCTGCATTTAGTTTATATATCATTTTAAACCATTTAATACACATCAGTACTTGCAATATATTATTGTAGCAGGTTACTATCTTTACTATTGTTTATATATTTATTTATTTATGTATGTATATATATATCTTCTAATTCTCGAGAAAGCAGTATGTATATATATATATATATATATATATACATATATTCACTTTCTTTTTTTTCTCTTTATTTCTCTCTCTCTCCTTCTATTTTTTCCCCTCTCTCAATATATATATATATATGGTTAAATATTGTTTTATATGCTATATAGTTATATATGCTATATACATATATATATATATATATATATATATATATATATATATATATTCAAATTCAATTCAAAAATAGCTTTATTCAGCAAAATAACAACAGTTTTTCGCTAGGAGACCCGAAGTATCAACTTGTTGGGCCACCTATACACAATAGAATAGGATTATGGATAGTAATAAACATAAACATGAAACTAATTCTATTATAAACAAAATATAAAAATAATAGATGATGAGAAAGGAATTTTTTTAACTATACACTAATAATAATAATAAAACATTTTCGAGTAATATGAAAATTAAGACAATAAAACTAAATGGTCGAGTTGCTATATTAAAAATTAATCAAGAAAAGTAATTTGAACGAACCAATTTGTTAATTATAGTTTTATAAGAACATAGAGTCAATGAATTCTTAGCATATATTGGCAGTAAATCCCAAAGATGCATTGATAAAGAAAGTACTGAATTTATATAAAAATTTGACCTGGGTTTAGAAAAATAAAAATCAGAATTATATCTCAAGGATCGAGTATTATGGTTTTTAAATATGATAATTTGCTTATGAAGTAACGGACAAAAATTAAGTTTATATAATTTAAAAAAGAAAATTAAAGAATAAACAGTGTGTAATTGACTTACATTTAAAATATTTGCCATATTATAATAATGGCTAATGTGATCAATTCTATTTAATTTAAACAAAATACGCAAGAAAAAATTTTGATTAAGAGTTAACATATGAAGATTGGACTTCGAACTACAACTCCAGACAGGAATGCAATAAGTTAAGTAAGGCAAAATGAGAGAATTATATAAAGACATTAAAATAAAGATAGGAAACCTAGATCTCAAACGATAAATTACACCCAGATTTTTGGATAGTTTGCTAGATATCCGCCTTATATGATCAAACCAATTCAAATTACTAGAGACAACAACACCCAAAAATTTTACAGAATATACTCTTTTAATTAATATATTATTTAGTACTATGATAGGATAATAAATGTCTGTACGAATTTTAGGACCAAAAAAAATAAATAAAGTTTTGTCCAGGTTAATTCTTAAGTTATTAGAAACAACCCAATCATAGACATGAATTGATTCATTAGTAATAGTAGAAACCAATAAATCAAGATTAGAATGCGAAAAAAATAAAATAGTATCGTCGGCAAAAAGTACAAATTTTAAAACACTAGAAGAGTTAATAAAGTCATTAATAAAAATGTTAAATAATAGAGGACCCAAAATAGAACCTTGTGGAACACCTGATGCAATAGAAGACAGTTGAGACACAGAATTATTAATAGAGACATATTGATAACGTTCATGCAGATAAGAATAAAACCATTCATAAGCTATTCCTCTTATACCGTATCTAGATAATTTATTTAGTAAAGTTTTATGATCCAATGAGTCAAAAGCCTTACAGAGATCAATAAAAACGCCAATAGAGAATTTTTTAGACTCAAGAGCAAGAGAAACATAATTTATTACGTCAGCAATAGCAAATTGTGTAGATTGTTTAGGACGAAAACCATACTGATTAGAGCAGAAAATGTTATTAGAATTTAAAAAATTAGAAAGTCTATTATGAACAATTTTTTCAATAAGTTTGGCTAAACTAGAAATAATAGATATAGGTCGGTAATTATTAATAATATGCCTATTACCAGATTTAAACAAGGGTATAATCCTAGAAATCTTTAAACATTTAGGGAAATAACCATTATTAAAAGACAAATTTATTAAATGTTGTAAAGGAATAATAATATTATTAAAAGTTTTTTTTAGTAAAAAGTTTGAAAAACAATCATCACCCGAACTATAAGAATTTTTAAAATTATTAATAGAATCAATGATTTCAAGGAAGGAACAATCAAATAAAACAAAAGTGTTTGAAACATGAACATCCAAATACTTACGATAACCATGACTAACATTTTCACCCCCTAATGAATGACTACAATTAACAAAATTAGAAAAATAGTTGTTAAAATGGTTACATAAGCTCAAGTCATCTTTTATTAACTCGTTATCCACAGTAATATTATAAGATTGAATTTTTTTCATACCCATACATGACTTCAATAAATTCCTGGTACCTTTAGCATTATGCCTATTTCTATTAAATTGATCCCTAAAATACATATCTTCTGAAACTTTACATAATTTTACAAAAATATGTTTGTAATTTTTATATAACAATTGGTCAGACAAAGATTTTGACTGTAAGAACTTCTTATAAAGTTTATTTTTAACAACAGAGGAAATAACCAAATCCTTGGAAATCCAGGGTTTTTTCTTGCGAGTTCGTTTATGAGTTGCTAAACAAAATTTAATAACAGCTTGTTTAAAAATATTAGAAAACAATTCAAAAGCTGTATCAGTGTCTGAACAACTTAAAACAACATTCCAATCAAAAGTCTTTAGGTAATGGTTTAATTTTGCAATGTTGTAACACTTATAATTAAAAGATTTTGTATAAGAATTAGAGGGATTATTTTCAAACGACAGGACAAAAGATGTAAATACAGGAAAATGATCAGACACAGAAGAGTAAATTATACCTGATTTATGAGAACTCAAATTATTCGTAAAAATATTGTCGATTAATGATGAATTAGCAATAGTGACACGAGTAGGAACAGAAATTAAGGGAATAAAATTATAGGCGTGAAATAAATTAACAAATTGAGTAGAAGTATTTCTATAGTCACATTTTAATAAGTCAATGTTAAAGTCACCAATAAAATATATAAATTTAAATGAATCAGATTTAATTTTTGATAATAAAGTACATAAATCATTTATAAATAACATAGGATCAGAGTTAGAGTTATATATATATATATAATAGTTATATATATATATATATATATAGTTATATATATATATATATATATATATCAGAGTTATATATATATATATATTACAATAAACATGAGATCATGGGCGCCAAGAAACAGAAATTTAAAATATTGTATGTAACATTTATATACATATATATATATACATATATATATATACATATATATATATATACATATATATATATATATATATAGATAGATAGGTATATACTTAAAATACTTATATGATATATACATACAACGTATAATCTCACATATATAATTATAGAGTGACAGGTGAGTATTTGTTGATATATGTATGTAACTCTTGACAAGTAGTTTCAAATCGTTCGCACTAATTATTATTATTATTATCGTTCTTTATTGATGTTAATTTAAACTTATTTCATTAATTAAACTTAGGCTAATTAATTTATAGTTAATTAAATAAATAAATTTCATCGAGGAATTGTTGAAAATTAATTAATGTGGATTTACTTTGCAGTATTGAACGTTTTTTTCAAGTTTATCCAAGTTGGCGCAAATTTATTATATATATAGATAAATAATTCAATAATTTAGATAATGGTTTCGAAAATAATCAAAAACTAAATAATTAAGTTGATTGGTCGTTTAGTTAATTAATTAATTTGATTAATTAATAAATAATATTTATTTAAATATAAAGTTTATTTAGTATAATAGACGGTAAACAATCGACTGAACAAGGTAGAACTTAGAACTTGCTGTAAACAAAAGCCAAGGACAACATTAACAACGACAACGACATTAAAACAACAACTTCCATTGCTAGAACAACAGCCGCTCAAACCTACTTGCAGCAACAAACGCAACAACACATACGACAACTTCAAAAAAGCGACGAAAGCGATTAACAACTACGTATAAACGCTTACTACAACAACATTATTAACTTAACATCAATTACAACAACTACACTACAAAACAACAACGATATTAAATAAAACAGCACAACAACGACGACAACAACAACAACAACACCGGCAACAAAATGTCGTACAGGTACATGAAATTTCGAAACATATTCTTTCGGAGAAACGTGATGGCGGGCGATAATAAACACCCCTTACCCCTGACCGAGGAACAATTCAAAATCGGGCTGCAATTTCAAGTTAAGGTAAATGACGTCATAATCTTTTGTTTGTTTTTGTTTCGGTTAATTATCTTATCTATGTTTGTTATTTAATGGAAGTTTGAGAATGGAACTATAGATGTACATAGGCTGTATGTATGTGTGTGAGCGTATATTTATGTGCGTTTGTGTAAGTGTGTGTATATTTGTGTGTGTGTGTATATATATTTGTGTGCTGGTGGTGTGTGTGGGCTGTGTGTGTGTGTGTGTGTCGTCAATATCTCTGAATAACGCAATAAAAAACAACCAATACCTGTAACTTTAATTTGAGCCTTGACTGAGAAGCGTTTTTTTTCTCAAAACTTTTCTAAGAACTTGTCTTCCTGGTGAACTAAGACATCTCCACAATAAGGGTTAGTTGGTATCGTAATTTTAACGCTAGAATGACTGGAAAAGTATTTTGAGATGAAACCCACCGTCAAATTTTCTGTAAATTCGCAACGCCTTCAGAGGCAGTTTTAGGACATTTCTAGCTTGGAAAATTTTATTAAAGTAGTGGAATGTGCAATGAAAGCAATGATCGATCTATAATCTATCACAAATAATATTATTAATTTATATTCATTACATTATTAATTTTCGTAATTCACTTTTAATCATTACCAGTATATTGGATCTTTGGAAATATCGCGTCCGGTCAGTCGAGTCGAAATCGTGGCCGCCATGAGGAAAATCAGAGTAAGTTATAGTCGTAGTATTAGTAGGGGCTGTAGTAGTAATAGTAGTAGTAGCCGCTGTAGTAGCGGCTGTAGTAGTAATAGTAGTAGCAGCAGCTGTAGTAATAATAGCAGTAGCAGCAATAATAGTACTACTGACATTAGCGACAAAAGTAGAAATTATAAAAGCAACTTTTATACTTGTACTTAGTAATAACAATAATATGTATAATAATAAAAAGATGATGATGATGATGATGATAACAAAATAATAATAAAAATATTATTATTATTATTGTTATTATTATTCTAGTTTGAATTCCGTATGAGAAGCATTAAGAAGCGGAACGTGACGCTGAGAATTTCAGTTGACGGCGTCAGAGTTACTACGAAAAACAGAAAGGTGACGATGATTTTGTTATTATTATAAATATTTTTATTATTATTTTGTAATTTCTTCTTCTTATTATTATTCTTGTTTTTAATCAAAGTGAATCTATTAATTCTACAATTTAGTTGAATAACGTAATTATTAATATTTTAAATTTGACAACCTACAACAACAGAGGAAGTTAGATGAAATAACCTTATCAGAACACTCAATATCAAAGTATGTGTGTGTGTGTGTGGCGTGTATGTGTGTGTGAGGTATGTACGTACGTATGTGTGTGTGCGTGCGTGTGTGTGTATGTGTGTGTGTTTACTTAATCAATGTACGTTATGCTATATGGTATGGCTTCATACTATGCTAGTTATCACTTCATATCACTTCATCGCTTTCACAGCATCACATGTAGCTATTGATTGGGATAAATAAATACGACGACGACGACGATGATGATGATGATGATGATGAAAACGAAATGATTATGATGATGATGGTGATGATGATCTTGTATCAATTGCTATCTAGATGCGCTCATTATGACTTTTTTTATTTCTTTTTAATTTAGTTTTTTAATTATGCCGTAAATTATTATTTTGAATGTTCAAATATTTTATTTTTTTCATATTATAATTTATTGTCCTTTTTAACTTATTTAAATTGCGCTAAATTTTATTATTATTATTTTTTTAATTTCTGTTCATTTGAATTTGTTTATTTCTTAAGAAAATCTAAATGGTATTGGACTTGGCAAATTTTTAAAATTTAGTTTCTCATTTTTATTCATTCTTTCGCGTTCATGATGGGCCATGTGTTGGTGAAATGTTTGTATGACTCCATCTTTCCAGAATATTCTACGTCTCACATGACTCTCAGGATCTCCAGGTGTTTAGTTACATATCCTGCGATGAGGCCTCCAAGGTTTTCCAATGTACCGTCTTCAAGGCGGCTAAAAAAGTTCGTCTGGTCTTGGAAAAAATGCATTTATAATTTTATGATATTTAACATTTTTCTATTTTATTTTCAACAACATTACAACAATCACAACACCACAGTAGCACCAACAACACATAATAGCATTACAACAACAGCAACGACTACAATAAAAACACGACAACAAAGTCACTTTAGCAGTACAAACAACCTCAACTACACAAAAACGAACCTCGCACAACACTAACCACGCCAACAACACTGCAGCAACTAGCAGTTCAGATAGTTAAAACCATCGGCCAAGCGTTCGACGTCTGCCACAAATTGACGCTGGAGAACAAATCAAGATGTGACGACGATGACGACGACGGAGCCGACGACGATAATGACGTCACTGCCTGCGTCAACAATGATGAAAATAGAGACGAGAATTTTGACGAGAATTTGATTAAAAGTAAGAGGGCAGCTGAGTTTTTGTTTGTCAATTAATATTTATATGTTGATTTGCAACAACTTATTAGAACATGCATGCCAAATTGTTGAAAAATATCTAATTTTTCACTAATTGCAATCAGTTTTGCAATTAGTGGCTGAATTCAATTTGAGATAGAAAAATAGAGGCCCTAATGAACTTCAATAACCAACGGTATATACATCTTTTAAGATGCATACAAGATATGTCTTGGTTTTGTTGTGAGGATACTTACTCAACTGCCAAAACAACTACTCTAAAAAATATCTCCATTTCACAATCAGTCAACATCTAAACGTGCTGCTAAGTAAAAAAATTAAATCTCTTAAACCGCTTTTAAATTGTCTTTGAACAATTCTTATACCAAGAGGTTAACTTTCAACTCATCATCCAGATAGCACTAGCTAAGGAATCATGGACCTCAGTTAATAAGGAAGCCCAAGAGAGCAAAATATGCATTTAAATGTAGATACTGTGAATTTTTTCATTTATCTGAAACGTTTTGTTGTTTTGTACTCGTTTTCATTGCGAATTTTTGTTTCGTTCTTCATTATTTCTAAATGCTGGTGTGGCAATCACCATGGATAATTATGAAGATGGTTGGTTGTTGGGTGTTCATGCTAATTTATACCAGTATGTCTGAATGTATGTGCGTGTGTGTGCGCGCGTGTGCGTGTTGCGTTTTGTGTGTGTGTGTTTGTTTGTTTTTGTAATTTGACTAAAAGTGAAAGAGGGCAGTTGATTTTTTGTTTGTCAATAAATATTTGTGTGTTGTTGAAGACAAAATTCTGCCTGATACGATTTAAACCGTGTAGAGGCCAATAATATAAATATCAGTAAATTGTTTGGCAATTGTGCTAACAATTTTCTCATCAAAGTTTGTTATTGCCATTATCATAATCACCATTATTTTTATTGTTGTTATTATTATTGTTGTTGTTATTATTGTGTATGTAAAAAGAGTTCCCATTATTATTATCGTCTGGGTCTTTTGGTTGTTAGTTGTGTTGCACAAATTGTTTTTATTTGGATACTACTACTACTTCTTCTCCTACTACTACTTCTACTACCACTACTACAGTTGAGACGAAGACGACTTCTACTACTAATAATAATAATAATAAATACTAACTACAACAACTTACTATTTTTATTTATATTATGCTTTGGGTTGTTTTTGTTATTGATGTTGTTGTTTTTGTTGTTGTTGTGTTGTTGTTACTTCAATTGTTGTTTTGATAATTATTTAAGTTGATGAATCGTACAAAGCCCCACCAAGCATCAACAACCACATCGACTACGTTAACTACAACAATAACAACAACACTAACGGGAATTATAGCAGCATCTTCAACAACAACATCAACAGCAATAGCGAAAACCTACTATACGATGTTTCAATATCACAACACAACCAACCACAACAACAACAAAATCTTTTATTACGTCAACAACTACAACATTTCCGACACCAACAACAATCGTTACTATCACCGTCATCATCAGCGGCAACAACAACATCAACGATGACGTCATTTTTGTTGCCGGCCGTTTTGCCCTATACCGACAAGTACAAGATATCCAATCCATCTTTGGTTTGTTTGTACATTGTTGTATTGTTTTGTATGTTTTGGTTTCGTTTTGTGTGTTGTTGTATAGTTTTGTATGTTGTTGGATAGTTTTGTATGTTGTTGTGTAGTTTTGTATATTGTATCGTTCGGTTTTGCATGCTGGCTGTTTTTGTTCCATACGTCAAATTGTTCTGATTCAATTTGTTATTTTGTTAATAAATGTTGTTTTTTTTAATGTAAAATTATACATTCGCCGACGCGATAGCGTAATGGTTAATGTGTTTGGCTTTGGTGTTGCTTGCAGAGACCGGTTTGAAATGCGAAAAGATCCCAGCCTATTCAATGCAATAATTTCCTTGTATTCATTATTCACGTACACTATTTGTTTGTTTGTGATACATTTGAGAAATATTAGAAATAGAATTGTAGAAAATAAAATAATGTTTAAAAATAAATGGTAAAATTAATATTTTCAACGACCAAAAACAGTTCAACAGTCTCCCGAAACCTTTATCGCCATCGTCAGTGTCTCTAGTGCCGCCTCCATCGTCACTTCTATTACCACTCTCTTCATCATCGTCGTCGTCATCATCGTCATCGCATCCGGTTATATCACCATCATCATCGTCGTCACTTCCTGTTACGTCACTACCGCTACCATCATCGCCGCTAGCTGCATTCATTCAGCAGCAGCAACAGCAACAACAGCAGCAACAGCAGCAGCAGCAGTTACATCACCAACTGCAATTCAATCAGATGTTCCGCTTGCTGGAGTTACAGCATCGAGAGCATGAGTGCATCATCAATCAGCTAGTCGACCTGAAGAGACAGCTGACCTATGAAAGTTCTGCCAGAGTCGAGGCCCAGGTTCGATGGAGATGATGATGATGGTGATGATGGAGATGATGATGATGATGATGAAGATGATGGTGATGATAAGGAAGATGATGATGACGACGACGATGAAGATGTCATGGTGTTTAAGATGAATAATGCAATGAATATCAAAAATCAAGGCCTGCTATTTTCAGTTGTTGTTATTATTTTTTTTTTAATAAAACCTCTCGTCACGTGACCCAACCACCAGCTGCATCTGCGGGACATCGTCAAGCAGAACGAACACCTGACCTTCCAGATTTACTCGATCGTTCGGAGGATGGCCTTCGAAGGCAAGCACCTGGACCACGAATTCACTAAGGTCCTTCGATATGAAAATTGAACTATATAACGCTTATTTTAGTGTTTTTGTTACATTGAATGAATGAATGAATGAATGAGAATGAATAAATAGGTAGATGAGTAAATGAATGAGCAAATGAATGAGTAAATAAATGAGTGAATGAATGAGTGATTGAGTGAATGAATGGCTGGCTGACGGGTTGATTGCGAACATTTTGATCAGAAAATATATAAAAAAACTTAAAAATTATGATTATTTTAGCAAGAGTTTCCAGTTGATTCAAAGCACAGAGTCGACGCAACAACACAAGCGATTTGTTCACTAAACTCAGAGACGATAGCAGCAGCAGCAACAAACGCAGCTGCAACAGCTTCAACGTCATCGTCAAAACAAACAACAACGTTAAATCAAAACTCATTGGACGACCCTGAACCTTGTAACTTCAACAACATGTCGTCCACCACTGAATACACTACCGACAGCGGCAGTCGCCACATCCACATCACATCAACTCCTGTGGCGTCAACTAAAACTCTAGGTAACATCAATATCACTAACAGCAGCAACAACAAAATCATTACCAGCAACACAAACAACATTAACATCATCAACAACACAAACAACACAAACAACGTCAACAACAACAACCCACACATCCCACAAAACAGCAACAACAACATCAACAGCAACAACAACAACAACAACATGTCTCCAGACAGCGGCCACGACGATACGGCCTCCATCAACCAATCCAAACCGACACATAGCGATAGTTGGTGCACCATAGATAAGTATCCGGAAACAGACAGTGACAATTACGTCATCAACGATTCCAGTTCTTCCGGGCTTGTAAACGAGAAAGATGGCGCTAATGCGGTTATCCAAAATGGTCACATGATCTACGAGCGGCTGCTCAATGTCAAGGACGTTGCTAATGTAAATAACAAAAAAAACATCAAAAACAACCAAGTCAACACTAATAATATTAACAATAATAACTACAACAACGATGATAATAATAATAATAATAACCATGATGGTACTGATAATGATGACGATTTGGCCGTCAAAGCAGCTACCGCAACAACCGGCGCTTCTAAGCATCTTACTAGTTATATTCAACCTGGAGAGCGTATTTTTTTAAATGGACCGCCAAATAATTCAGCGAAGCTAGTTACTTGCCCCGCTGACAGTTTGTTAGTCAAATAATAATAATCATAATAATCACAATAAATAATAATAATAATAAATAATAATAATAGGATAAATAAAAATAGTAATTTTAACATTTTACTGTTTTGTTTTGCTGGTTTCAGGGCTATGAAGTTGAACTTAATATGCTGTTAATAACCTGAAAATTTTATAGAAAAAAAGAAAAAAAACAATTATACCGCATTGTAGGGCGTATTTTATTTCAAAATACTTTAGAAGTATTTAACTACGTAGAGAAATCTGTATTTTAATGTTTCTTACGTTATAAAAAGCAGCGAGGTGGTTTATTTTCTAAGGATTTTGGTTACTCGATAAAAAAAATTAAAAAATATATAAAAATAATGATATATATATGTATATATATATTTATATAATACATATATAGTTGCTTTGTAATATTCTTTGCTTGTTGGTCTGTTGTTGTTGTTGTTGAATACTTGAATATTAATGAGTTTATTCTATATCTAGTGATTACGTATTTGTTTTGTGTTTGGTGTTCTGACGGTACCGTTGTATTATAATTTTAAATATGTTTTAGATGATTATAAATGATTATAAATGATTACGAGTGTTTGTAGGTATGTAGTGGAATGATGTAGAATGTAGAAGAATGTATCCAGGGATACATTCTTCTCCGAACATTGAAAAAATAATACACTGAAGAATTTGTTTGAAAAAAAATCACCAGCCCACCGTAAAATTTTCTATCCGCCTCTACTCATCACTTTCTTTTTTATTTGTTGTACAACATTTTCACCATTTGAAATCTTACAATGTCATATAAGATTAAGTTAAGTAGGTACTAGGTAAGACTTAATATCATAGAAAGAAATGGCAATAAGTGTCGAGGAATGAATTTTTTATGATGCTAGAGAGGATTGTCAAAGGGACCTTGGGCTGCTGTGACCCCCTCCCTCCCCATATTTTTATGACCCCCTCCCTCCCCATATAAAATATTTTTATGAGTGATTAGCGTATGTTACTGTCCAAATTTGAGAAATTTAGATCCACTATTCACTTTTAGCAAAATAAATTATGCAAAAGTACGTTTACATCACTCGCTTCTCAGTTTTTACGAATGTAGTAAAGATGGATCTTATGCATGAAATTTTAGCGCTGGAATTGAACTATAGCACGTGAATCCGGACTATTAAGCTTGATTGATTGATTGGTTGGTTGTTTGATTGATTGGTTGATTGATTTATTGATTGATTGATAAATGTTTTCAAGATGATTTGCAATATGAAGTTCTTCTGAGGAGTCATTTGCTAGTAAAATTTAGTTTAAAGTTGGTGGTTAGTCAAATCGTTATAACTTGTTTTTATTGTCCTTACCACATTTTTTACTGACAGAATTTCACTTCGATATCCTCAAGTTTTCATTTCACTATTTTTTAAATAATAAGATAAATTATTTCGAGACTTTTTCAGAACGAAAAAAAATAATTCATTTTATGTTTCAATAATTTGTTAACCATTTTTTCTCTGTCTGTATAAATGACTTAAAAAATTTAACTGGTAATGTTAAACTTAACTACTAATAACTATACGTACACACAACATAGAAACATATAAATATATAATTACACACATACACACACATACACACACACACACACACATAGAAAGAGATTTACTGAACGTTTTGACGGTCAGCTAGTTATTTTAAAAACTGCTATTATATCATTGTTTTTTTGTTTTTTTTTCTATGGGCAGCCGAAATACATTGCCCCAAGAAGTACTTTTTATAAAAAAAAATCTTCACTAATTTGAAATTTTATTTTCGCGAAATTAGCAAATCGTGTTAAGTGATGTGGCGTTTTTGATTATTATCATCATCATCACCACCATCATCATCATCATCACCACCACCACCATCATTAACATCATCATCATCACCATTCATATTTATAGAAAAAAAACATGATAATAATAAGAAGAAGAAAAATTTTTTCCGTGTTAACGTCATTGTAAATAATAATTCAACATGTAAGAAAGAAATTACATTCATTTAAATGATAATAATAATAATAATAATAATAATAATAATAATAATAGTAGTAGTAGTAGTAATCCCAAATCGCAAAAAGCAATAAGAGTGCTAATATTGATGACATTTTCAACAATAATAATAATCGATAATTTTATTATTGCTATCATAATTTATATTATTATTATTATCATTATTATTGTTATTTTATTATGAATCAGGTGATATAATTACACACAAACACACACACACAAACTCACACATACTTATAACTCCTTCAGAAAAGAAGAAGTTTTTATCCTCCTAATGCACTTTAACACATGTAGGTTAATCTACAAGTTGATCATGGTGATTAATTGCTAACAAAAAATTAATTATTATTAAAAACTGCGTTGACAGCTTAATGACAACATCAAAGCTATTATTATGATTATTATTATTAGTAGTAGTAGTAGTAGTAGCAGTAGTAGTAGTAGTAGCAGTAGAAGTAGCAGTAGTAGTATTAGTAGTGGTAATGAAAGAAGTAGTGGTAGTAAGTAGCAACCTATTATTATTATGATTATTATTAGTAGTAGAAGTAGTAGTAAAGACAGCAGCAGTAGTAGTAGCAGCAGTTGTAGTAGTAGTATTAGTAGTAGTAATAAAAGTAGTAGTAATAGAAGTATTAGTAGTAGTAGTAGTGGCAGTAGTAGTAGTAGTGGTAGTAGTAGTAGTAACGACAGCAGCAGTAGTTGTAGCAGCAGTTGCAGTAGTAGTATTAGTAGTAGTAATAGAAGTAGTAGTAATAGAAGTAGTAGTGGTAGTAGTAGTAGCATTATGTTTACGCTTTAGCAGAGATCTGGATTTTTTTCATTCTATATTTAGAACAAAAACGCGTGGTGGTTATAAGTGGATGAGTGATCGGGATCACGCGCGCTTGTAAACGTGTGTGTGTGTGCGTGTGTTTCTCTGTGTGTGTGTGTATTTTTGTTGTGTATGTGTGTGTGTGTGTGATTTTCTGTGTGTGTTTTTTTCTGTATGTGTGTGTGTGTGCGTGCGTGTGTGTAATTTATTATTTTTCATCTTAGTTATATTTGTTCATCTATCTCTATACATACAGTTGTTTAAAAAAACTTAAAATATACTAAGAAGCGAATAAAAATGAAGCTGAGTTGAATAACTTTCTTTCAAAGGATCAAATAAATGAGATTATTCAGTAAAAGTAGTTGGTGCAATGTGTTGTGTGAAGCTGCTGTCAGCTGAGCGAGAAATTTCAGAATATTTCATCACATGAAAATTTCAAATGGTTATTGCTATTAATAGTGCGAGGGCTGCATTTGCATAATTATGGATTTACAAATTGCGAAGTTTCGGAACGCGTGTGCGTGCGTGCACGTCCGTGTGAATGAAAGAAAAGAGAGAGAGAGAGAGAGAGAGAGAGAGAGAGAATGTTAAAAAGTGTGTTGCGTGTGTGTGTATGTGTATGTGGTGTGTGTGTTTGTGAGTATGTGGTGTGTGTGTGTTTGTGCGTGTGTGTGGTGTGCGTGTTACGTGCGATCATCATCGTAGTAGTTTAATTGTATAATTGTATCGTCAGTAGTTTTTCGTTTTCAGTTGAAGATACAAGCAGACAGGATTTTTCATAACTATGATTTATTCGTAATTAATTGATGATTAATTGGTTAATGATAATTAATAATTAATTAATTAAATTATTAGTTAATGAGAAGCTATGTAAAAAAAAATCAATTTCTCTAATGACAAAAAGGCTTAACCATTTGGAAACTTCCATTAAAAATGCCTAGTAAAAAATCAAATAAAAAGTTCTATTTATAAATTTAAATAAAACATTTTTAATTGGAATCATATATAATACTATGTGTGTTTTTTTTCTTAAGTTTTATGTGTGTATGTTGTGTGTGTGCGTGCGTGTATGTGTGCGAACCTGTTCGTTTGTGAGTGTGTGTGTGAACCTGTTCGTTTGTGAGTGTATGTGCGTGTTTGATTGTGTGCGTGTGTGTCTTTTGATTTATTTTAGAATTATTTGTCAGAAATACGTCTCTCACGGTCGACTAAACTGATTATTTATGTTTAATGTGTGTGTGTATGTACGTGCGGTTTATTAACACACAAAAATATACACTCGCATTCAAAACTTCGTGTGTGTGTGTGTGTGTGTGTATGTATGTGTGTGGTGTCAGTGTGTTTTTGCGTTTGTAATTGTGTGTTCCTATAAACTATATATACATGCATATATATAATGTATCTGTATGTCCGTGTATGTATCTGTATGTCTGTATGTGTTTTTCTCTCTCATTCACTCTCTCTCTCTCTCACTTTCTCTCTGTCTGTCTGTGTGTGTGTGCGTGTGTGTTTGTATGTATGTATGTGTGTGTGTGTGTGTGTGAGTGTACAAAATATGCATATGTGTGTTTTGGAGCGTGCAAATTAGGGCCGAGCGACGTTTACAACAGCGGGTCAGGCATGTCAAAACAGAAGTTAGACTGACAGGACTTAATTAATGATTCCTCGGTGAAATTTGTGATTTATTAACTTGCTTGTACGGATGTTGTAGCATATGGATCTGTGTTTGTTTCATTTTTATTTTATTGTATGTATTTGTATATTTAGTTGGTTAGTCAAATTCTCTGAGGTGCAAAATTAATTAATCTCTCTTCTCTCTCTCTCTCTTTCTCTCTCTCTCTCTCTCTTTCTATATGTGCAAACATGTTATGTGTTAAACTTTTATCCGATTCATATTCCATGGAAAACATGTGTATATGATTTCTAGTTCAGTCTATCAAACACAGACCCCGAAAACCTACGCAAGTTTGTTGGGCGTCATAAGTCTAAGATATCAAATAAAGCAAATAAATCAAAAATAAAATAAAATCAAGTTGTAATAATACTAAATTAAAACTATGACAAATAAACTCCAGATGTTGAATATTTGTAATGCAAATTTGAGTAACGTTCAAGCGATGGAACTGATCCACAGTGTCATGATCGATACAATGCAACACAACACC